ACAGTTACATGTTGCGGATGACCCGGTCGGATTCAAACCCGAAGTGCGGGCCCCATAGGGAGGGGGCTCCCGCCTGAGACTTCCTCACAATTCACTCACAGACGAGGCTCCCCCTCGAGACCTCCATATTCAGGCCTCAAGACCCCAAAAGTGACGACAGTTGCACGTTGCGGATGACCCGGTCGGATTCGACCATGAAGTGCGGGCGGGCCCCATAGGGAGGGGGCTCCCGCCTGAGTTTTCCTCACAATTCACTCGCAGACGAGGCTCCAGCTCGAGACTTCCTCCATATTCAAGACTCAAGAGCCCAAAAGTGACGACAGTTACACGTTGCGGATGACCCGGTCGGATTCAAACCCGAAGTGCGGGCCCCATAGGGAGGGGGCTCCCGCCTGAGACTTCCTTGCAATTCAGTCACAGACGAGGCTCCCGCCTGATACTTCCTTCATATTCAAGCCTCAAGAGCCCCAAAGTGAGGACAGTTACACGTTGCGGATGACCCGCTCGGATTCAAACATGAAGTGCGGGCCCCATAGGGAGGGGGCTCCCGCCTGAGAATTCCTCGCAATTCACTCACAGACGAGGCTCCCGCTCGAGACCTCCTCCATATTCAGGTATCAGGAGCTCAAAAGTGACGACCGTTGCACGTTGCGGATGACCCGCTCGGATTCGAACATGAAGTGCGGGCCCCATAGGGAGGGGGTTCCCGCCTGAGACTTCCTCACAATTCACTCACAGACGAGGTTCCCGCCTGATACTTCCTTCCTCCATATTCAGGCCTCAAGTCAGCGAGTAGGGATGATGATGATGATGGTGATGGTGATGATGATGATGATGATGATGATGATGATGATGATGATCGTTCGATGCCGATGATGGTGAGTGATCGCGGGATGGTGATGCTGATGCTGATGGTGATGATGATGATGATGAGTGGGGAGTGATGGTGATGGTGATGATGATGCGGAGGAGGAAGCAAAGAGGAAGAGGGAGGAGGAGGAGGAGAGATCCTGCGCGGAGGGTGTGCAGAGAAAACAAGAACCCCACTTAGGATGTGGGGAACAATGCGGATGTCATTGTTTGTCTCGTAGGCATGTTTTGCCCTCGCGCCTCATCGCCTGGCAACGACGCAGCCGTATGTCTTCGCATGTGCGAAAGCATGCGCGCCCAGGTAAGCGGAAATGCGGCCAAGAAATCAAGTGTATTTGCAAGCCAATACATATGGATTTCAAATGTTGCACCACCCACCATGTTCGTCATCAACACTGTGCCTTCATAAGTTTCGGAAACATGCGTGCCCAGGAGAGCGGGAATGTGGCCAAGAAATCGATGGTACCGTTACAGCCGACACATGTGGATTTCAATGTGTGTGTTGGCCTCACAAACAAGTTTCGTCCCTCGCGCCTCATCGATTGGCAACAGCGAGGCCGTATGTTTTCGCATTCGCGGTCGCATGCGTACCCAAGGGGGCAGAATTGTGGAAACGAATTCGTTGGTTAAATTCTCGCCAATGCCTGTGGATTTCAAACTGCGTTTTTTGTATACCGACCATGTTTGTTCCCTCGCCTCATTGTCTCACAGACACGAAAACCGCTTGTTTTCGCAAGTGCGAGCATGCGTGCCCAGGAGGGAGGAAACGTTGCCAAGAAATCGATTGTAACATTCGGCCAGCAGTTGTGGATGCCATTCTGTTTGGCATCACAAATAATTTCCGTCCCGGCGCTTCATCGTCTGGCAATAGAAAAACTGCATGTTCCCGGATTCGCGGAAGCATGCGTACCGACCATGGCAGGCATGTGGCCAAGAAATCGTTTGTAAAATTTTAGCAGATGCGTGTGGGTGTCAACTTGAGCGTTTTGCATCATCGGCCACGTTTGTCCTCGCACCCCACCGTTTGGCAATCGCAAAACCGTATGTTTGCGCAGCTGCGGAAGCATGTGTACCCAGGAGGGCGGGAAGTGCCCAAGAAATCGTTGGCCACGTCTAGACAATGCATTCGCATTTCAAGTTGTATGTGTTGCTTCTCAAGCACTTGTGGTTCTCGGCCGGCAGAGGTTTCAGAGCGCTCAGGCGCTCGTGAGCCTCTGCAAAAGCGCCCAGGCGCTCAGAAGACTCTGCATTGCGCTCAGGCGCTCAGAAGCCTCTGCGAAGCGCTCAGGCTCTCAGAAGCCTTTGCAAAACGCCCAGACGTTCAGAAGACTCTGCAGAACGCTCAGGTCCTTAGAAGACTCAGCAGAGCGCCCAGACACTCATGAGCCTCTGCAGAACGCTCAGGCGCTCAGGCACCTCTGCAAAACGCCCAGGCGCTCAGGTGTCTCTGCAAAGCGCTCAGGCGCTCAGAAGCCTTTGCAGAGCGCTCAGGCGCTCATATGCCTCTGCAGAGCTTTGTGGCGCTCAGAAGCTTCAGGAGCTCTTGCAGAGTGCGCATGCGCTTCTGAAGGCTGTCTGTAAAGTGGCCGTTCTGGTAGCGAAGAGCCCCGTCTGGGTTGTAGAGTGGTCGTTCTGGTTGTAAAATGAGCCGTTCTGGTTGTAGCGTGGTCGTTCTCAAAGGAAAACCGGGGAAATCGATCCTTTGCTGGTTGTGTAAAGTGTCGTTCGGGTGATAAAGAGACCGAATATCCCCTGCCCCCCTTCTGCCCGACCATCCCCCCCCCTTCTGCTCATTCCGACTGGCCGACCGTGCCCCCCCTTCCCGACCGTGGCCCCTGGCGTTCCCCCCCACTTCCCCCATGTGCCCCCCCCTGTGCTTCTCCCGACCGACTGGCCGTGCGCCCCCCTGCCCGACCGCGGCCCCCCGCGCCCTCCCCCCACTGCATTCGCGCCCCCCCCGGCATATTCCGACCGACCGATTGCGTTCCCCCCCCCCCCCCCGCCCCCCTCTGCTTCCCCCGTTCCCCCCGAGCCCCCCCCCCCCTGCTTATTCCGACCGACCGATCGTGTCCCCCTTTGCCCGACCGTGGTCCCCCATGCCCCCCTCCCCCCTCTGTGCCTCTCTTTTCTGCTTATTCCGACTGGCCGACCGTGGCGCCCAATTGCACCATGGTCCCGACGAACTCACAGTGACGTAACGAGTTTTTCCGCACCAAGTCTTCCAAGAGCGAGCAACCTTTCAGAACTGATACAACATCTATTCGGTTTGTCTCTGGGGCAATTCGGAAGGTTTCTTGGAGGCCTCTTGGGGCATCTCGGGGGCATCTTGGGCCGTCTGGACGTCATGCTTCGCGTCGTGGACCGATCTTTCGACGACTCGGGGCCCTTATCCACCGTCTTCGGAATCTCTCAGGGCCCTTTTGGCCCGTCTTCGGGCCTTCGTGGCGTCCCAATTGCCCACGCGACACACCCTGGGCCCGCGCAGGAGCGCGCAGGAGCGCCTGGGAAACCAAGGGTCCATGCCCGCAAGAACCTTACAACCCCATTTTGCCTGTCAGGGTTGCGTGAGCTTTGGGGCACTCCACAACGTGCTGAAGACATGGTGGCGGATCTTGGCTACGCATATCATCGCGCCCCCCATATTGGGACCAAGCGTTTCGTTCGTTTCAGGGCTCGCGCATGATAAAACACGCCGCTGAACCCTCGCAAGCCTCTCCCGTGATATTAAGATCACCTTCGGATCGAACCTGGCGCTGCGTCCACCCAGCCATGCTGCTACTCGCCGTTCCGCCGTTACCGTCACTTGCCAGCGTGTCGCAGCAACCGCGCGTTTTCCTGGAAATGCCACAGGTTGGCGCCATCTCCAATTCCCATTGTCCCGCATCTGTGATTGTATGATCCTTGGCACGCGTGCCTCTTGTTGGAGTCTTCTTGGGACACCCTTGCCTTCGTGTGCTCCATTTGGCAACTTTTCGTGGCTCTCTTTGGCGACATGTTGGGCCCTTTGTGACCCTCAGTCGGAGGCGAAACGGCGAGAATGTAAGCACACATTTAAAACAGTTCTGCCAGCGCGGACACCGAACAGCAGGCTGTTGCACCCTCGACGTGCAATCGATGTGTTGACAGGAGCATTATGCCTCAGGTGCGGCGCACGCTATGTGTAGCTAGCTGGTGGTTTCGAGCTACGTGCTGCACGGTATGCAATGCACGCCATGTGATGGAGTATGTCAGGTGCATGCTATGTGGCACGAGCTGTGTGGCGCGAGCTGCCAAGTGCTCAAAACTGCGCGTTGCAAGCCAGGTGGTGCTAGCTATGTGTAGCAAGCTGTGCAGTGCGCGCTGCATGGTGCAATCTATACCCAGGCCCCCGACGTCATGACTTTTTCATGACGTCGACCCCCAGAAGTTTCGACCTCTTCCCAGGGACCGGTTTGTCATTCTGAGTCGTTTCTTGACGGCCCCGAGGCCCGGTGAGGGCCCCCAGAGCCGGAAAATGGCGAACAACCTCCCGTCGTGATCTTTTCATGTTTCGAGGGGGTCTGGGCATGCTGAGTGCCACCCGGTGCAGGCCACGTGGTGCAAGCTCTGCGGGCTCCGGCTTTAAGTCGGGCCTGTCCCTTTTACAGGGGGATTTTCGACGACAAAAAAATACCCCCTAAATAATCAAACAATAGCCTGGGGACTATTTTTGAATCTTATTTTGCCTCTTGGGGGCATTTTTGGGGTATTATTGTCGTATTCTTCGTGGAACATCCCCCTGTAGGGGGACAGGCCCGACATAATGCAAGCTCTGCAGTCCCCAGACCACCGACGTCAGGATTTTTTCATGACGCGGCCCTCAGAGGTCCGGACCCCTTCCCTGGGACCGGTTTTTCATCCCGAGTCGTTTTTTGACGGTCCCGGGGCCCGGTAAGGGCCCCCAGGGGCCGAAAATGTCGAAAACCTCCCGTCGTGATTTTTTCACGACCCGAGGGGGTCTGGGTCTCCGGCGAGGCGCCCGCCCGCGGCGGCCCGCAGGGCGCCCAGGAGGCGCCCACGGGCGGCCACGCGGGAGCCCCCCGGGCAGACCCACGCGGCGCGCACGGGGGCGCCAGCGGGCGGCCATCGGCTGGGCACGGGGCGGCGTCCGCAGCCTTTTTGCCTCCAGCGGCGCTCCAGCTGCGTGTTTGTGAGTTCAAAATAAGCTGTTTTTGAATTTCAAGAACCACTTTTGAGTTCAAGAAGTGCTTGGTTTCTGAATTCCAGAAACCAGGTTTGGAGTTCAGAAGAACATGGTTTTGGAGTTCCGGAAATCAGTTCTGGAACTCGAAACACCGTTCTGAATGCAGAAGCACGTTTTTTGACTTCAAAAAAAAGTTTTTTGAGTTCAAAAACCAGTTCTTGAATTCAGAAACCAGTTTCCGTCAGCCAGCAGCGCGAGCAGCCGACACTTCCCGCGGGCCCCTGCGCCAGATGAGCGGAGGCGCGGCCCCGCGGCGGCGGCAGCCAGGCGAGTTGCAGAGGGCCGCATCGCCCGCTGCCGTCTCGTCCCCTGCTGGGTCGACGAGGACGCTGGTCGGGGCAACGCTGGCGACAGCCGGCGTGAGGAACACCTCGTTGAATCCCTGGCTGAAGCCCGAGCCGAGGCCAGGCAGCGAAGAAGGCAGGGGGCCGGCAGCGCCTCGGGGGCCACGCGAAGCCTTGGGCGGAGGCGGCTCGGCGGCAGCCGCGGCAGCGGCGGCAGCAGAAGCAGGCATGCCTTTCGGGGCTTCGATCTGGCCACACGTGGAGGTGCGCGATCCGACGCCAGTCGTCCTTCAGCGGCTCTGCGTGGTGGCCACCGCGGCCTTCCTGGTCTTTCTCCTCCCAGCGCTGCCGACCTTGCTGGTGGAGGTTGGCGGAGCTGACGGCGGCTATGATGAGAGGCATGGCCTCAACCTGGAAAAGGCTTGCGGACAGGACCGAGTGACCTTCGCTTCCGCCCCGTGGCCGCCATTCGAGAAGCTGCTGGAGGTGACACTCGGGCTGTCCAGCTTGCGCGTCGAGCGCTGCCTGCTTGGCACAGCAGCAATATTCGGCGGCCTGATCGCGGCGGATCTGCTCGGCGGCCTCGCTGGGGTGCAGGAGATGTGGCCGCGCAGCTGGAACTGCGACAACGCACGCTGCTACACCGAGATGTTCTGCGAGCCGACACGGCCTGGCCGGCTGCTCCGTCGGCCGGGAAACGCTTGCTCGAACGTTACATACGTCTTCAGTTCGTTCTGCGTGGTCTGCTCCACCCTGCAGCAGCCTAACAGTGGCGCCACGCCCAATCCGTTCTGGCTGCCAGACTGCGCCTTCGGGCTGATGCTGCTCGTGCTGGGCTCGACCTCTGTGGTCTGGCATGCCTCCAACGCCCCAGCCTTAAGTCGAGCCCGTCCCTCTACAGGAGGAAGATTCAAAAATAGCCAAAAGATAGTCTGGGGACTATTTTTTGCTTATTTTTTTGTCATTTTGGGGTATTTTTGGAGTATGTTTTATTTTTCGTCGAAAATCCCCCTGTCGGGGGACAGACCCAACTTAACCCCAGCCTCCCAGTACCCGGACCTCTGGTCTATGGACTGCTGCATTGTCTACCTGATCGTCCGCTTCATCTTCCTCGCCGTGCACGGCGGCGCCAGAGCGCTGCTCGGGCCCGACGCCGCCAGGGCGGTGGCGGTGGGTGGCTGCAGCCTGCTCTACGCCCTCATAGTGTGGCACAACGGGTGCCACCACTGGGAGAATTTCCAGAAGCGGTGGCTGCACGGCGGCTGCCCCTTCTCTGGCCGATCTCGAAGAAGAAGGCACGGCATATGCATAAACGTTTGGCACTCCTCGCGGATTTCTTGGATCGGCGCTGGACCCACTGCGGGCGGCGCCTCCGGCGCCGCCCCTGGCGCGCTCTGTGCGCCAGGGAGGGGGGTCCAGCGCAGATCCAAGAAAATCGCGCGGAGCGCCGAAAGTTCATGCTTATGTCGTTTGTTCTTCCCTCACGATCGCGGCTGGCCAAGGGCGACGCAGCCAACGCAGTAGCGGCGGCGGCGGGGCGGAGCCCTCACTGCGAGGTGCCCGTGGTCGAGGTCTGCATATTCGCCGGCATGCCCGTGCTCTTCTGCCTCCTGCCGATGCTCATTCAGCTGTGCGTGCTCCGCGCTGCCGGCTCCCGCTGCGCTGCAACCTTGGCCGCTGCCAGCCTCGTGATTGGCTGGGGCACCCGCATGTTCGAGCGCTGGGTGGTCGATGGTTACGGCCCGATGCTCCTGGTCGAGGCAGCCCGAAGGCGTATGGGCAGCGGCGGGCCGCGGCAGCTTCTCTTCGGCCCACCGCTGACTGTGTTTGCTGCGCTTGTCTCGCCGACGGCGGTCCTACACGCGTTCACTGGGGTGACGTTGATGGCGGGCTACGCACACGTCAGATCAGTCGACTCGCAGGTGTTGGCATGAGAGCAAAACACTGGAACCAGGCGAAGCCCGGTTAACCCAAAGTGAGAACTGGACTGTTTGACAGATGTTTCGAAGTGGCGTCTTTTGGGGGGCTCCAAGGCCACTTGGACCAGTCTCTGGGCCGCGTTGGGGCCTTTTGAAGGCATGCCGGAGACCGTCTTCAGGCATACGGAGCCATCTGGGAGCCATCTTGGCTCAACGGACTTCCAATGATGCCACAGGTAGTTATGACACCGATTGCACGGTCGCCCCTCTGGAGGGCGACGCATCGCATATAAGAGCCTTTTTGGAGGTGGTCCTGGAGCGCTTTTGGTGGGCTTCGTGGCAGTTAGGGGCCCTCTCTGAGCACTATTAGGGGCTCAGTTGGGCAATACTGGAACTTTGGGGGGGTCTCTGATTAGACCCATCGGAAGCGAACAGGTAAGAAGGACAAATTAATTGAGGTGACGTGCTGTATGTGTTGGCTTCTCGGGGTCTGTATTGGATTACATTGCAGGCATTCTTGAGGTTATCTTGAGCCATCTCAGGCTACATCGTGCCATCGTCGAGGCCATCTTGGGCTGCGTGGCCAATATCTGAGCCACCTTGGACCTTCCAACCTTTCACCCCCCCCCCCCCCCCCACACCCCTGTCCAGAAGGATCGTGGTACGGTCAAGTTCCAAACTGGAGCCCCACAAGCTGTCGCTCACTCCCATCCGCCCTCTCACCAGCTAAGGAGCACCCGAGGCTCGGCCTGGGCAGGGGTCGCCCGCGGAGGAGCAAACACACATTGGGGGCCCATGCAGGCGCTGGGGGTGCGGCGCTCGCGGAGGGTGCGACGCGCATGCCAGGCCCCCCAATGGGGCCGACGTGTGCCAGGCGCGCCGGATGTGCGCCGACGACGACGACGACGACGACGACGACGACGACGACGACGACGACGACGACGACGACGACGACGACGACGACGACAGCGCCCAGTGCGCCAGGTGCGCCAGGTGCGCCAGGTGCGCGCCGCGCGCAGAGTGCGCCATGTGCGCCACCGCGCGTGGCAGCAAACACATCGGGCGATGCGTCGATCCCATCCCCGAGCCATGCCTGTCCGAAGCCACGCAAAGTGGCGGCTGCGTAGTCAGCATGGTGCACGGTGTGTTCGCCCGCAATGACTTCGCATTGGCTTGTGGCAGGGGTGGTAGGACAGCGCACAGCGGACGACTATGCTCACGCACCCGCCATCCCTGTCGACGCCAGAGCGAACGGGCTTTCGGAGGTTCAGCTCAGGAGGCAGAGCTTGCCGCAACGTGCACTTGGTTTTGTTTTTGGATGGGGTTGTTTGGGGGGGGCGCGTGGTTTCTGGTGGGCGGCCGGGGTCGAGCGGGGAAGGCGTGTTTATCAGTGAGGAGCAGTGCGGATCTCGTCCCGGAGATGGAAAAAAAATGGGATTCGAAGATCATCCGAAGATCAAGCTAAGCCACCTACAGACGTCCAGAGGGCTGGAGGGACCCTCCAACCCCCACTCGAGGATTCAACGCCCTAAAGCCTCCTCTGCCTTCCTGGGTTTGGGTCCTCCCACATCTTCTTTCTCGACCTCCACCCACCTTTTCCTCCACCTCCCGCACGACGGCGGCGGCGACGACCGACAACCCGCCGCTCCTCCTCTGCCCTGCAGGAAAAGTACCAGGACATGGTGGCCTCTGTGAGGGCGCAGATGGACAAAGTGTCTGGCGCGGGCTGAGCCCTGGGGAAAAGAGCGGCTCGCCCTGGCTTTTCTCGAAGAGCCAGTAACGACGTAGGCATACACGTTCGGGGGGGCGCCCTTGTTGCGCTCTGCACGCCGGGGGGAGTGGGGTCCAGCGCCGACCCAGGAAATCCGCGCGGACCTCCGCAGGTTGATGCCGCATGCCGTGTTCCCCAGTCCTCCTGTGAGTGGAGCCTTCGTCTCGAGTCCGCAGCGCCCTGCGTCTCCTCCTTCCCTTCCCCCTCCCTCCTCCGCCTCCTCCTCCAGACCTCTGCCATGGGGCCCAGAGGAGGCCACATAGTCGGGTATGGCCAGGACCCCAGGTAAGGGGACCCGGTTAGTGGTAGGGCCCCGGAGCTTTTGAATTAGCCAGAATCACTAAACCAGGTTTGCCATAGCTGGTGTTTTTTCGGGTGACGGCAGTTCCGGTCAGTGGAAATGGGACGGGGGGGCGCCCCCGGTACAGATCACTAAACCAGGTTCCGCTAAACCCAGTTCTGCCAACGCCCGACATGGGCCCAGAAGGAGATTGACGGCTTCCCCTCCGAGGGGCCGCGGCCCCACCGCCGTTCCTCTTCCGAGGCGCCCCGTGCGCGCGCGGAGCGGAGTCGGCGCTCGCCTCGCCTCGCCTCGCCTCGCCTCGCTTCGCCTCGCCTCGCCTCGCCTCGCCTCCTCCGCCTCCGCCTCCGCATCCTCGTCCTCGTCCTCGTTCTCCTCCTCTTCCTCCTCTTCCTCTCCTCCTCCTCCTCCTCCTCCTCCTCCCCTCCTCCTCCTTCCTCCTCCTCCTCCTCCTCCTCCTCCTCCTCCTCCTCCTCCTCCTCCTCCTCCTCCTCCTCCTCCTCCTCCTCCTCCTCCTCCTCCTCCTCCTCCCCCCCTCCTCTTCTTCCTCCTCGTTCTCCGTTTCTGCGTTCTTCTGCTCTGCTCCGCCCTAGCCTGCCCTCTCCGCAGCCGCTCGGCGCCGTCGTCCCCTCGCGCGGCCTCTGGCGCCGCGGGGAGCTCAGCGCCGCTCTGTGCATTGCTAGGGGGGGTAGGCTCAGGGGGGGGCCAACTCAGGGGCAATCGTGTTTTCTTTCCAGGACTGACCACAACGCTGTTTACTTGGCTTGGTTTGGGCCCTTGTTTTGTTGTTCGTTCCGTTTGTCGTTGTTGCTTCGTTTCGTCCTTCGTTGTTGTTTTAAACGCCTCCTTCCGTCGTTTGTTTCCGTTTGGCTCCAGCTTCGCTTGAGCGTTCGTTTTGGACTTTGTAGACGCAGCTTCGTTTTAAACATCGTCGTGGTCGGTTGCTGGTGTTTCCCATCGCCAGCGAGGCGGGGCAGGCCGCTCCGGCGTGGCAGCGATGCAGGGGCACCGCGAAGCGACTCGGCGGGCATGCGGGAGGGGGGGAAGGAGAGGCCACGCGGGGCGGCCCGCGGGGGAGAGGGGAGGGCAAGAACTCAAAGGAGGAAAAGAAACACACAGACACAATTCATCCTCGACTCCCCAGAAAATATGGGATAATATGGGAAGTGGGGGGGGAAGACAGAAGCCCAGAAAGTATGGGAAAATATGGGGAATCTGTTTATTTGTGTGTATTTATTTGTGTGTCCTGGGGCCCCTTCAAAGAACTCAAAGGCGGAAGACTTCCGTCATGGGCAGCCAGAGCGGCCCGCGGGCGGCGGAGGCGGCGTCTGGGGGTCGGAGCGCCGGCCAGGCCGGTGGGGGCAAACACTCAACATAGCAAATGCTCAAGGCACCCAGGTTTTCGGGCGTTTGCGTCTGCTCTGATCGGCCTGCGGGAGAGGGCCAGGTCGGACGAGAATCGGCGGCGAGCGAGGGGGGGGAACGTCGAGGTTCGAACTGCGAGGTTCGAGGTTCTCGGGCGTTTTCGCAGTTTCTGGGCGGTCTTCCGCCCTTGGGATGCTCTCCAGCAGCTGCGCCTCGCCAAGGTCGTTCGAGGGGTGCCCAGATCGTCCCGAACAGCCCCCCAAGGCCCAAGTTACGGCCCCTCCGTAGCCATTTTGGCTCAAGTCGATCGATTTTGTGGGAATTCTCAGTTCACAGAGTGCAAGGTGCAGACGTTGTGTGAGCGCCATGGCCCGCGTGTCGTTCGCCATGCTGTCGCTCGGGGCAGCGCTGGCCACTGAAGAGACCACGGCAAGCTTGAGGGGCTCTGCTGCGGCACGACGCCTGGGGAGCTGCACCGCGGACGCGAAGCCATGCGCAGCCCCGCACTCCAACTCGGCTATCTGGTGCTTCGAAGACCCGACCTGCCCAGGGCAAGGGTGCGTCGAGGATTCCGGCTGCCGGTACTGCGATGCCTCGGCGATCGGCGGGCCTTCGTACGATGCTGAGGCGTGCCCTTCGCCAGCCCCGTCTTCGGGCTGCACTGCGGACGCGAAGCCTTGCGCAGCCCCGCATTCCAACTCGGCTGTCTGGTGCTTCGAAGACCCGACCTGCCCAGGGCAAGGGTGCGTCGAGGACTCGGGCTGCCGGTATTGCGATGCCTCGGCGATCGGCGGGCCTTCATACGATGGTGAGGCGTGCCCATCTATCCAGTCTCTCGGTGCCGCACTGGCCGCCGACGAGGGCTGCGACGGGATGACCTACACGAGAAACTACGCCGAGGGCACACCGCACGAGTGCAGGTGCGACAGCTACTGCGACGATTTTTGCGACGATGAGCCGAATGGCTGCGCCAGGACGTGCAGGATCTTGAACGGAGTTTTCGAGCACATCCCGTCCGTACATGCAGGCGACCGTACTTGCACTTGGTACGCGCACTACGTGACCAACCCGATTAACTACGATGGCTACGATTGCTCGTGGATGACTGGCACTGGCGAGGGCGGCCACGGAGACGATTGCCAAGATGGGACGTCCGTTGGCGCCTTGAAGTGCCGGGAGGGAAACCAGAACCAGAACAATTGCCACTTCTAATCACGGCGAGCGTTCCCGTGGAGAGGGTCTTCCCGATTTTAGAACTCTTGTGGTGGGTGGGCGAAGGGGTTGCGATGCCTTATACCCAGCTTCTTCAGGCTCGGTCCACTGCCTCTTCCAGCCAAGAGCGTGCGGAAGAGAGTACAGCGTGCATGCTTCGTAGATGATGGCGATCCTATCGCCACACGTTTGGACCTCTGTGGGGGCGTGGAGCACTCCGCAGACGCGCTGCTGACACAGAACAGGGCCCGAGGTACGGCCCTTCAAACTGAGGGGCAGCGCCACGGGGGGTGGTCAGGCTCAGGGGGAGGGGGGGGACACATCGACCCCCAATCGCGATAGCCCACACAAGCCAGGACAGTGGGGTTCTGCTATCGGGGCCCTGTCGCCGATCTGCCGGTTGTGCGTCGCCGACTCGGGGTCCATGGCCGTCCCCCTGAGCAGGTCCCCCCTGCACGTTGCCCCTCGGGCCGGCTGCCTCCCTGCCGCCTTCGGCGCCTGGAGGCCTGCGCAGCGGGCATTCAGTCCAGTGGGGAAAAAACCTCCCAGACCCCGAGAATCGGCGTTTGCTAAACGGCCTTGGGCGTTTACTAAGCAGCCCTGCCCTGTTTGATTCTTTCTTTTGGGTGCGTTTACTCCACAGCTTCGCGTGTCCGGGCGTTTCTTATCGGGGTGGATGTTCTGCACTCTGTTCCCTGCCGCTTTCGGCGCCTGGAGGCCTGCGCAGCGGGCAGCCGGGGCCTGCAGGAGACTGATCCCCACGGCTGCCGTCGTCGACTGCACGTACAGTGGGGGCGCGCATCAAGAAACCATCTGCTTTTCGTCAGGGTATCCTGGGTTTCTTCGCTCCTCGCGCTGCGCGGTGACTTCCCGCAGCCGCTGATGGAGCTGCTGCGTTCAGGGTGCTCCAGGTTTCCCCTCAGGTGCACCTCGCGCACGGGTTCTCAGGGTCGGGTTTCTTGCGAGGGTTTCTTGCGGCCGCGCCCGCACTGTATCTGAGTGACCCTTCGCTGGAGCGACCTTCGGTGCGGGCCGGCCGGGGGCTCCCCGATCGCGGAGCGCGCGTGGCTTTGGCAGCCCCGCGCGCCCCTCCCGCGGCGCGCACGGAAGGCCACCCTCGGCCTGGGCCTTCCATTCGGGCCGGACGAAGGGGGGGGATTGGGAAAGGGGGGTTAATTACGAAATCTGCTGCATGCAGCTGGTTTCGGCCTCACCGAGGGGCCCATTCCTCGATACATGGCCGCCTCCGGCGCCGGGAGGCGCCAGGGAAATCAGCTGCGTGAGCTGATTCTCAGACCCCCCCTTCGCTATTCCCCCCTTTCGCCCGACCCGATCCATGCGCACTGATTTGTAGCCGATGGCAGGAAGGCATGGCATGAGGTCAACTCGCCCCAGAGAGTTCCAGGGCGCTCTCGAAGCGTTCCGGCACGCTCGGCCGCGGCGCCCCCTCCAGACCCGCTGTGTCGCAGAGCTTCCTGATTGGTCCTTGACGTTGTTATCAGCTTGCCTTGGTCTCAATGCTGGGTTGTCCACGGATCACCTGGCTCGGCTGCGTCGCACTCGGTTGCATTCGGTCGGTTCGGTTCGGTCGGCTGTGGCACCTTTGATGCGTCGCTGCGTCCTTCTGGGCTGCCTGTCTGTGTCGGTCGGTGTCCGTCGGTTTTCGATTATGCTGACTCCGTGGGCGGCCTTGGGGATGGAGGAGGAGGAGGAGAATGAGGGGGAGGAGGGGGAGGAGGGGGAGGAGGAGGAGGAGGAGGAGGAGGAGGAGGAGGAGGAGGAGGAGGAGGAGGAGGACGAGGAGGAGGAGGAGGAGGAGGAGGAGGAGGAGGAGGAGGAGGAGGAGGAGGAGGAGTCCGTAGCCCTTTTGGCTCATGCCTGGCGCGCGCGCTGGTTCAAGGGGCGACCTTTGGCGAAAGCCAGCTGGGCGTCCCTTCGCTCCGCGCGCACCGCATGTATGGCTCGGGACGCCGCTGCCTCTTCGGAGGATCGTGCGGCGGCTGGTCGCACGCGGCGTGGCGCCGCGGGCGCCCGCGCTTCTGCTGACCGGCTCGTGCAGCGCCTCACCGTGCAGCTCGCGCAGGCCGAGACGCGCAGGAGGGAGGCCGAGGAGACCTTGTCCGTTCTGGTCGGCGGCAGCGAGGCGGCACAGCGAGTTCAGGCGTTGCTGCCAGCATTGCGGGCCAAGCTGGACGGGCGGGTGCCTGAGTGGTTAGACGTACTACGCCGCAACGTCGGGCTTCACGCTGACGCCGTCGGCGTGGATGTGGCCACCGCTGACGCCCCGCAGCTGCGGCGAGCACAACGCGGGCCGCGGTTGGAGGCACGCCGTTTACCTGGTCCTCAAGATGCTGATCCTGTCGGGTCCGCCTCCGAGGACGATGCGCCCGCACCTGCTGCCGTTGTGAGGTCGACGCTGCGGGCCGAGGCTGCCGAGTTCGTGCCTGCCGCAGTTGAGGTGGTGACGCTGCGAGCCGAGGCGGCCGGTTTCTTCCCAGCGGAGAGAACCGTAATCCCCACGGCTGGCGGCGCGAGACGGAGGTGCACCTGCGGCGCCGTGGTGTTCTGGGGCATCCCTGCCGCCGAACTGCCGCCTTTTGTGCGGCACGCTGGGGATTGCTGGCGTCATAGTGGTCCATGGTGTCATCGTGCTCCTGGTCTGATAACCAGAGACGTCGATTGCGATTTAATCTCGGGTGATGCTGTTGCTGATTGTGTCGAGAGATATCTTCCTGGCGATGGTCACTGTGAAGGAGGTTGCTCGGAAGTAGACTATACCGAGCAGCCGAAGCCCGAGTACTTGGACATAGAGCGCCTGCACGCACAGGAGTTGGAGGCCCAGCTCGCGACCTGGGGGCAGCACGTGCAGGAGGTGGAGGCCCAGTTGGACGCCTGGAGGTGCGAGGGGTCCACCAGACCTTTCGTGCGCAGACGAGCGGAGCTGGGCAAGGTACCTCCGAGCGCCCTGCTGAGAGATCTGGGAACAGCAGTATGCTCAACAGCGCGGGCGAGCGAGAGACCTGAGCGTGGCGCACGACTAGGCGTAGCTGGTGTGGCGCCGCCCAGAGATGATGTTACATGTCCACAGCAATGATGCCAGGTCTTTCTGTTTTTGTGCTCTTGTCTGGCACAAGCTTGTGGACCCTGAGGGAGTGGCTTCGGTGGTCTCCCCTCTTTCGAGGGGGGCACGGCCTGGAGGGTAGTGCTGAGCGCTGCCCCAGGTGACGCCGCAGACCTCGGCTCCCAGGGAGTGGCTTCGGTGGTCTCCCCTTGTTCGAGGGGGGCACGGCCTGGCGGGTAGTGCTCAGCGCTGCCCCAGGTGACGCCGCACACCTGTAGCAGGAGCCCGTCCTCGGATCAAGGTCCGAGGCCTCGTCGCATTTTTTTCAAAGCTGCCCTTTCGATCCTGGATTGGTGGGGTGAAGAGAGAGCCACTGGAAAAGGAGGAGGAGGAGGAGGAGGAGGAGAGAGGAGGAGGAGGAGGAGGAGGAGGAGGGGGGAGGGGAGGTGGGAGGGAGGGGTAGGAAGGAGGACGAGGAGGACGAGGAGGAGGACGAGGAGGACGAGGACGAGGAGGGGGAGGAGGAGGACGAGGAGGAGGAGACGAGGAGGACGAGGAGGACGAGGAGGAGGAGGAGGACGAGGAGGAGAGGAGGAGGACGAGGGAGAGGAGGAGGAGGAGGAGGAGGGGGAGGAGGAGGAGGAGGAGGAGGAGGAGGAGGAGGAGGAGGAGGAGGACGAGGATGAGGAGGAGGAGGAGGAGGACGGGGAGGAACAGGGGGAGGAGGGGAAGGAGGGGGAGGGGGAGGAGGAGGAGAAGGAGGAGAAGGAGGAGGAGGAGGAAGAGGAGGAGGGGGAGGAGGGGGAGGGTGGGGCCCAGGCTCCCACCGACGCCATCGCTCTGCTGCTTTGCCCGGTCCGCTCAACTCCTCGCCCTTCTCCACCACCCTCGCGTTGTAAGGCCAAAGAGGCACGACGCGCGCTCCTGATCCTCTGAGGGCCTTTGCCCGGCCCCAGGGCAACGGGTCCCGCACAACACGTCCAACAACGATACAACCTCAGGGTGTGGAGTAAGTTGGCCTGTATATGATATGCGACAATCGAGTGATGCCGGCGCCCCAGCGCCACAACCTGGCCCCGCGCAGGACCGCCCCCCTGGGACGACAGGCGCAGCCTCAGCCTCGGCCTCAGGACAACGGGTCAGGCCCCCGAGGAGGGGACCAGACCTCCGGGTAATTGGCCACGCTGCGCAGAATCGCAGCGTCGCAGGTCTGAGAGGGACCTTGACCTTCCACTCGAGCCGAACGAAAGGGGGGGAAACTGCTGCATGCAGCTGGTTTCGGCCCCGCCGCCGGGCCCAGTCCTTGATACATGGGCGCCTCCGGCGCCGGGAGGCGCTGGGAAAGTCCCCCCCTTTCGTCCCCCCCCCCGATCCACACATCCCACGCCGTGATTTTCTCGACGACGTGGATCTGCAGAGGTCTGGAACCCGTCGCGGGCCACCCGCATTCCGTCCCGAGTCGCTCTGGGACGGTGTCTTGTGGCCCGGCGGGCGCCCCCAGATTCCGAGCATTGGCAGACACTCTCCGCCGTGATCTCTTCACGACGCGAGGAGGCCCGGGTTCCCATACGACGACCGCGACGGCCACGACGACCGCGACGACGATCGCGACGGCGACGGCGGCGACCCCCCGCAGGCCACGCTGGAGAAGGGCCGCGCCGGCGGCGCGGCGCCGGCGCGGCCCTCGGCCCGCAGGCCTGGCGGGGGCTGAGCGGAGCGGGCAGGCAATCTCCCGTCCTCCTCGTCCTCCAAGGGTTTGCCGACGTTCTCGTCCTCAGCTGCCCTGATACGCCCTAGTTGAAACGTTCAAAACGTCTGTGTTGACACGTGGGGTGTTGGCTCGCCCACGTTTTGGCGATCGTCCCGCGCCAGACCTGCGTGTTCAGTCTACGTGTTGAGCTCCGTGTCGACACGTTACGGGTTGCGTGTTGCGTATCGGGGCAGCTAAGTTCTCGTTTGTTTTTGAAGGTGTTCCAGCTTTGGGATGCTCTCCTGCAGCTGCGCCTCGCCGAGAGCTCCTCCGACGCCCCGTCCTGTCATCTTCTATTTCGCCTCCTCGTGCTCCTGCTTCTGCTCCTCCCTCCCCCCTCTCCCTCCTCCCTCCCAGCCCAGCTCAGGCCTTCTCCCTCAGCCCTCCCTCCTCCTCCCCTCCTCTCCCTCCTTCGCCTCCGTCCCTCCCGAACGAGGCCCAGCTCAGGGGTCTTGCGACACCTTGCGCGGATCAAGCATTGTCTATTTCAGAGGATCCTGTGGGAGAGTCCGACTGATGGGTATTGCACACGGATTTCGCGTTTTCCCCGCGATGCATTCGCACATTTATCAAACATGAAGTAATCCTTTGGTCGCTTGAATAGGCAACATCATTTGAGTATTGAGAACCTGGAACCAGAATAGATGCACAGTAAACGCAACACACACGTTACAACACACACGTGCGTACGTAATAGCATAGAGCTTGTGTCAAGTCGGGCACGTCCCTCTACAGGAGGAGTATTTCGAAATAGTGAAAAATGGTATGGCGACGATCTTTGGACCATGTTTTACGATTTCGGAGTATTTGTCTGACTATGTTTAGGTTGTCGTCCGCAATCCCCCTGTAGGAGGACATGCCCGACCTGAAACTTGTACATCATATACACGGCATATGCATGCAAGTGGATGGACACCATGCACCATTCACACCGTGACTGACTTACGATGAAAAGAATCGTAGTTTGTCGTATCCTTCAGCCGCACATCTTCAGCTCATCATTTAATCGTATCATTTGTAATGAGGAAGTGACCTTGAACAATCACATTTGGATGTCTCATAAAGCGCCTGCTTATAATACGCATTGAAGATAGCTGCCATTGATGATGACGTGTACCATTTGAATCAACTGGGTCCTTGATCAAGGCTGTGTGCATTTTTATATATACATATATATATATGGACTCAAAAGAATTTCACAGGAGCACCACAGTCATCTCAAAGGCGCTCCATTCGAAGCTGTCGCAACTCGCCCTCCAATC